AAGTGAATGTAATTAAAGACAATTTTCTACTTCATTTTTATTTTGTGCGCTACTTTGTTTTCGTTATCATGATCTAAATTTTTTTTCTGCTAAGGTTGTCTTTCTTGTAACGTCAGCACACATTCCAGGTAAGCAGAAGTGTAGCAAGAGGAACTCGAATCTATCTTTAAGACTCGAAAATATCTACAGACTGCTATTGTGTACCGAGGAATTAGGAACACGAGACCGAAATGGTAATAAATATGTGGTTTTGAGAGTGGCTCGCATGTTTTTAACTTTATTGCGACTGGTCAGTACACGATTGACCTGTCAGAATCAAATCAAATTGTTACCAGTTTTTTCTCTCAGTAACTTATGGATACTTTCTTTTCACAATAATCTGAATGTTTATTGAATGTTTATTCTTTTTTTAAAGAAACGTTTAGTTCCTAAGAAGTAATTTTTCACCAGAATGCCCTACTGTCCTGGACGTCATCTTCATGATTGACACGTCAATGAATATCAATAATTCAGAGCTCACGGATACCAAGGAGTTTATCAAAAACATCATACCTTACATCAATCCCTCAATCGAAGGTACTTTAAACAATTGAATGCCTTATCTTAATGAAGCAGGTATAGTTCATAAGAAGAGTTTTTTAGTGCAGAGCTAGATCTGGGATCGCACTGGTTTTGCTATACTTCCCACTCTGATAACCAAGAGAACTCGCACGACCCTCACAGTCAATCAGATGCAAACGTGATACGCGCGCTTCAGTCTGAAAATTCATTGGCTCCTTGTAATGATATACTTAACCCTAGTTGGATGTTATGATTAGCAGATTGCATCTTTGATCTCTACACGCTCTGGATTCATCGGCCAAACTGTTTGTTTATATTTTTGTCCAACTCTATATTTTCGTTGCTTTGTTTATTCGATTTAATTGTCAGCTATTCATTTATCCCTAAGGCACTCATGTAGGAATTTTAAGCTTTTCATCAGGGATAACTAGAAGGCATCAAATCTCCGGTACACAAGATGTTAGCACCATTCAGAGGGCTGTAGATGAGATTCAGCGCGGGATTGGGCAACCGGTTATGTATCGAGCTTTTAGTGTGGCCACAGGAGATGTCGGTGAACACCGTCCGCAAAAGGACCTCAAACGACTACTGGTTGTAGCTTCAAATGGTCGATACATACGTATGTCTCTATTATTTTTAAAAATTCTTATTTAATTTTTTAGCTCGATATGAGAACGGATTGGGCATAGGAAATTAGCCGCATATGTAAGGTGAACGTACATTAGGGCGTTCAATTTTAATCTTGAGGATTTAAGGAGTGAATTTTATACTAACCTTAGCTTTAGGTCTGGCTTAATAGATTAGATGATTCTTGATGTTAAGCAAAGGCAAATTATCAACGATTGCTTTTCGCCCATCAGATCCTGATCTTGCAGTGTCGAGTGCACAGCAACCGAAGGATGACGGAATTGTCATAATTAGTTTGTGGATAAACACTAATGTCACCAAAGAACAGCTGGAATCAGTTGCCACGTCAAAACGTCTCGTGGTCATAGCTCACTCTTCACGTGATTACACTGCCATGAGTAACCTTGTCTCGTTGATTTGCGAAGGTAAAAAGCAAAAGCTATACTCTTCAGAATTTCTACGATTTTTCCTTCACGAATTCATTTCTACCTTGGAAACAAGGTGATTGAATTGTAACAAAAAAAAAAAAAGAATTGAGCCAGTTCCTCTTTGACAAATAATTAAGTGTTAACAACTGAGTTGAAAACGTAAATTGGGCGCCGCAAAGAGTTAAAAGGCTAACGTCTAGAGCGTTAGCCTTTCGTCAGAGCGATCTGACAAAGGGCTAACGAATCCAATCGCTTTGACAAAAGGCTAAGGCTGGAAAAGTCAGCCTTTTAACTCTTTACGGTGGCCAATCAACGTTTTCAACTCAGTTGTTAACACTGTATTACCTGCTATACTCTCCCACCGACGTAGCAACATAGTTTCTTTAGAAACTTACCCCCCTCTTTGACAAAATCTATTTTGATTGGTTATGAGAGAGCCCAAGGACGGTTTCCTTGATGATCAATGACGTTAAAACTAGTGGGCTCTTTTAAATTGGTTTTGTTCTTATTTCGTTTGTATTGATTGTTCGTTTTCAACAGGTAAAAAAGCGCACTAAAAATTTAAGCTCAGACGATCATAGATTAACTATTACCCCAGTGGATCCAAACCTTATGTCACAAAACATTTTCTATCAGTCTTGCAATCGCTGCATATTTGAAAAGTTGTGTTTCCAGACAGTTTACGGTCAATGGTAGAAAATATTTATCACTTTACGACCGTCTCTGAACATGCTTGTCAAGTTCAAATGGCTAGTGAGCTCCACACTCCAAAATTATCTCCAAGATATCTCTAACTCTCAAAAATCCTTTGATTCTTCTTAGCCGAGAGAGAATCTGGGGCATTAATCTCATACTCAGCAGAGAGATCCGCCCTTAAAGGTCATGTGATTGAGACGGTACACGCATGGGACGATTTCTCCTGCGCCTTTAGCTGTCTTCGTGTACATAACTGCTTCTCTTTCAACTTCAAGAAAATTTCGCAAGCTTGCGAGTTGATTCATACAAACAGGCTGACATCCCTTGGGGATATTATCAAAGATTTCGATTCCAGTTACCACGAGCTAACCTTTTTGTGAATCAATGGGAGGATCACTCCTTGGGGTCCAGCACAAGTTTTGAGAAAGACAGAACAAATGAACATAATCTGCAGCCAAATTTTAATTAAGAGTCGAAAGCAATCCAAGATTCCTTTGGTTTTACTCAACTTCGCCCTGACTGGTCCAGAAAACTCGCGCTACCTCAACCAATCAGATTCACGACTAAAAACAGTAGTGATATGGTCACTCGAGTTTTCCTGCATTTCATGTGGTTCGCCTTGAGTTCTCATCGGCTATCGATGGTGAAGACTTTCGCTCTGATGGGCTGTTGTTGTTTTGGGTCTTTCGAAAGTCAACTGAAAGTTGCACCGCTTTCCAGTGAGATTTTCAATAACTTTTCGTTTCGTATGTGAGAGTTGACGTAAGTTTCAGTACTAGTCAAACAAGCAAAAAAATTAAATCCAGACATTGATTCAAGCAAATATATCGTGACAATCTAGGGTTTACCACAGTTTATTCAAGTAGACAATGCTGCAAAGTTGATTTTTCCTGAGTGATTCTTCATGTTGTCGAACAAGGTTTGCTGCGGGTCAGTTGCAGAGACAGATACAGTAAAGACCAGAGAAAAATTTTCCTTTACTGACAAGAGATTCCATTGAATTTGTATTTATTAGCTGTTATCACCTGCGCTGTATGTTTTTAGACTGTTTAATTGCGATTTGTGCTATGTCTTAGTGAAGGAAATATTCAGTTCGCTTTAAAATTGCAATAACCGTATGTGAGCAGATCAAGACACATGTTTTTGTAATAAAAAAAACAACAAGAAAATAAGAGTGAAAAATCGTAATAATCAAGATCTTTTTATTAAATAATCAATGAAGTTATCCTTGCTGTTCTGCTACCGGAACGTAGCTCTTCAGAGTTGTCAATGTGTTATTAAAAACTACAATGATGGGCTGACAGCAATGGTTCTACGTTGCTATATAGAGCCACATCGATGCGATATGAAAACAAAGGATGACTTTTTACCGCGCACACAAGACAAAACAGGTACTGAATTCATTAGATATTAGTTTCTTGATAAATGACTTTGCGAAGCACGAGGCATTCATAGAAAACAATGAATTGTTGTGCCTCCATATCTCGCCTTTTTGTTTTGCTTTTGTGGATGTTAAGGAAGCCTTTGAAATGAGTTTTGGCGATTTACTTAATTGCCACAGATGTCTTTAATCGATCTAAGTCCAGCAGTCATTCTTGGCCTCCACTTCCAAACAAATGGTCTTGGAGGAATCACTAGTTGAGAGTATGAGCCAAGGTCTTCTAGTCCTGTGTTCCTTTCCTCTTTGCCCATTATTACATACTGCTCTTTCATTCGGAGTTTAGGACAGTTGCAGTAGTCATTAAATACAAAAATATCATCTCGGTTTTCCAGTTTCCTTTTGCTTTTGAACACTGCAATGATCCTTACTCGATATCTTCTTTCTTTACGAACTTCGTTGTACGATTCTTTCAAAACTTTGGCTCGGACAACTGGAATTCAAAGAAAATAAAAAAACTGTCAAATTCAACTTAGGAATTTTATCAATTTTGGGTTAACACTGCTAAAAACTGTATACACAGTTGAGGTGAAAATGAAACCTCATGCATATTGAACTCTGAACTCTGGGCTGAGCGTTTGTTGAGCACAAGGAATTAATTGAAAGTTGGTGATGGCACCATTCCTACAACAGCTCGATAATGTTTGGTTAAATAATATCTGTAACATTGAATCCTGGACGTATAAAATTCTAGGCTGCAAATTTGTATTTTAATTGTAACATATGAACACAAATATCAGAGGGTGTTTACCAAAGTCACTGTCACAATAGTATTTGTTCCGTTTCCTTGATATTTGACATGCACGGCATTTTGCTGTGAAATAATATGACAAGAAAACAGGCGTTAGTCGAGCTGTAAACTAGAGGCTGTTGTCAAAAAATTGGAACAAATTTGTGATATAGTCGCTAGAATTTGTTAGTTTCTAACAAAATTTTCATTTCAATCGTATTGAGTAACAGGAAATAGACTCTACTGGCCGGGCACAGAATGTAATTTGCATAAACATATTTCGAAGTTTTTTGGGCAAGAGGGACAGTACGTGTAAAATAGTTATATGCGATAACTTGGGGGGTCTCGGTTAAAGAAAAACGGAAAGAAACCGTTTAACTATAAATTTGTTTTCGTTTTCAAACTGATTGCTTCGAGAAACAAGCTAGATCGGTCAGGAGGAGAAAGAAAAAGATCCAATCCGTAAGATTTCGCTTCTAAAGTTTAGAGTTAGATTTTTTTTCCTTCTCGGAAAATTTTCTATCTCTTACCACTCGGTAGGTCCGTTGATGGTAGTGTGACGGGCGGCTGTGTCGTAATTTCTTCTACTGTTGCTGTCGGAAAAATTGTGCCTGTAAAGTCAGTTTTGTAGATCAAGAATTAAAACGTTAAGTAGTAAAGTATAATCACCTGGAACAAGTCTAATCGGAACTCGTAGGAATAAGAGTAAAGATTCTGGAAGCTTATGAGTAACATTTTGGTATTCTTTTACAATATGCCAAGCACTTATTTCTAAAGTAAAAGAGTAAATAGGCTGATGATTAGAAAAGAAAGTTAAGAATACAATACCTGTAAAATAAAACCAAGCATCATTTTTTTGAAAGAAGTTACGCGCAAGATGTCAATAAACGACGAATATGTAAAAAGCTGAGTCTGCTTTATCTTCTATTTTCTGCCACTATCTACTACTGTCATCATCATCATCATTCAAGTTACCATCATCCCCATCTTTTTTATCGTTATTATGATCATTACTGTTTTTCTTATCAGTACCTCCAGTTTTATCATCATGTTATTATTCGTTTAAAAAAAATGTCATTCGAATTTGGTCAAGAGTAAGGGAAACCCAGCGTTACACGAGGCTATCATGATGCTCTAAATGAGCATGGGGCAAGAAAAAAGTATTTTATTCGTACTTGTAATTCTGGCAGACGTCTTTGTTAGAAATTTCACCATCTCTGTAGTAAAGGGAGAACACCTCTTGTTCAATTGTGGTAGTCGACGTATCATTGATCCTCTCCATTCCTCTACGTAGCTTTGCCTATTTATTTCTGCTTTTGGCTCAGTTTTCGCCGTAGAGAAGCTTAAGCTACCCATAAGAAGGTACTGTTTCCCAGGGAGAAGCAATGGACAACGGCATGAATTGTTTAGTATCCAGACCGTTCCTATCGTTGTTACGCCTCTGGTAAGTTTGAAAATGTGAATCAGTTGGACGCGATATTTTGTGTCGTGAGAATACTCGTCGATAGCTTCAGTTAAGATCCTAACATGAACCACTGAAAGAAAAAAAAAAGGTTTTGAACAAGCTAAAGAGAGTTCCTAAAAGTAGAGACATACGGTTTTCTCATACTCAGACCTTTGCGGTTTCGGAGCACGCTAACGAAACGGTGCATATTTCTATTTGGAGCAAGGTTTAGTTTATTGATAGTGACCCCCAATTGTACAAACGTAGGGTTAAAGAGGCTATCCATATAAGACTTTATCCCAGAAACATCCATAGGGATAGCAGAATCAAAATTCCCTAGGCTTGAATACCCACGATCAAACAACACAACAGCTGATTTATAAGGACCTATGAGGGAACACTATCGAACAACCGGAATAATAATCAGGATCGAAATGCACCAATAGCAGCGTGCCAAAGTGCTACAAACAGCGACACATAAACAATCGACCACATCGCCTGATGAAGACTAGCCGTATTGCAGTCGAAACGTGACGATCAACATCAAAAGTGACTTTATCGTGAGACAAACGAACAAAGTTTATCTCCGTGATATATTTACTTACCGAAGTCGCTCGTGCAGTACGCCCTGGTCCTTCTGAAAAGATTTCCACATGGGCCACAACTTTCTGCAAATTACCAAATCAATGCAAATGAAAACTGAAGTGAACTTGAATTTATCTATCAACAATAATAAACAACCAAGGTTTAAGCAAAGAAGTTAACCTGCTTAAAGAGCGGGAAAAAGAGAGCGACCAAGTTCTGATTGATATTGTGCTTGAAACTGAATGGTTACGAAAGTGGTGCAAGTTCTCTAGGACCAATCACTGAGCGAAGTTAAGCAAAAAAAAAAAAGAAACAATCTCGGGTTATTTAGACCCTCAACTGAAAATTGATTTATTAGACAATAAAAATCGAGTTTAAGACTTTCTCCTACTCACCTTCAGTTGTCACTAGGGAAGTAGATGTTTCTATTTGAGTACTATGGGTCGACAACAAAGCTGTATTTAAAAAAAATAAGTTTAAGGTTATTGAAAAACAACGTTACACCATTTTCTAGGTTTCAAACGTGATTAAGATTTAGAGTGAATCAGGTAACGTACCTTCAGAAACTGATTTTCTTTTGTGATGCAAAGATGAACTTGTAACCTGTGCGACAGTCGATGAAATTCGTGGAGTAGGAATTGTGGAGTGTCTCGAGCATCTTCCTTCCAACTGTTTTATTTCTTCCTCCAATGTCTCCTTCCATTCAGCCACGAAACTATCTTGATTAACTTCTAAGATCGATATCGTTCTGTTCCATGGCACATGATTGCCAAAAACAAAATAATCCCTCTTCAGCAAGAGATCAGGTCTGCATTTACAATCTCCGATGGTAAACCTTAGCTCAGGCCTCTTTTTCACTGATTTATTCGTCTTGAATATTCTTCTTATTTTGGTCAGATGAGAGGATTCACTTCCGTTCGTGACTGCCCCAGTACGAACGCGAACAAGTATAGCTGTTGATACGAAAAAGTTAAAGAGAGGTCAATGATCTTGTTCGAAACGGTAAAATTAAAAACGTACCGTGATCTTTTAGGCCTCTAATGATTTACGGTTTTAGTTAATCTTGATCAGCATCTTAGTTTTAATCATGTTTTCTTTCGCCGTGTGTATTTTGATGAGAATCATTCCGTTGTAAGGTTCTGGTGAAGACTCAATTATGTGAAACACCCTCCATTCGAAATCAGATCCTTAGGTAATCTGCTCGCCAGGAAAATCTATTATTTTACTTCATATCTGTATATTTCTGTGATTCCAAATTGTTCAAGATCTCAAGGTTGAAAAGCGAAAGCATGCATAGACTGTGCAAAGTTGAGAGCAACTGACTTGTACGGTACGTGGCTTTCATTCTACCATAATTGACCTGTTACGTGAAAACTTCTCAATGGGAACAACCACTTACCAAAATCGCTTGAACAGTACTTCTCGTGTAGTCTCTCTGACAAACTGCACCGAGGACAGAGAGTTGCTGAAAAGAGAATTGATAAGTACATGTATTTTCAAATACTCTTTTTTCTTTTGTCGCTCGCCAGTCATGCAAAAACGTGTCTTTTCTTGGTCTATTGGGCAACGAGTGAACAATATTTTCATCTGCATCCAAGACTTTGTTTGTTTGCTTGTTGAATTATAAAAGACTGACTCCGGCAAAAAATTAATCTGAACTCAATTTCCGCTAATTTTTTAAAAATGGAGAAAACAGCAAATGAAACTCTGTAACACCACTTACGTGTTCCTTCTGGATTCGTTGTATGAGTAGTAGCAGTAGTTGACTGGAGGATTTTCTCCGCTGAAGATGAAGTTGACGGAAAGGAATGCGTTGAGCTGAAACTTTGAGTTTGCTTATCAGAAGTAGACGAAACAGGCAAATTCGAACTTTCTAGCCACTCTTGACCATACGATAAGCTTAATAACATGACTTCATGGCTTAACATTTTTATTGAGTTGTCCATGGGACTTTTCATGCCGTCCTCTTTTAGAGACGACCTACGTTGTTGAGACGGTGGGAATGCCTCATGCCTGGAAGGTGAAAAACCTCTTAAAGAATCCTTTCGTTTTTTGGAATGAAACTGAGTTCCACTGAGTGAAGAACTTACTAAAATTACATTTTCTCGTCTGATTGAAAGAGTTTTCAATTTCTGAAGGCTTGTGATGGGTTTTTCTGAGGTTAATCGAGAAGATATCATCACCGTGTGATTCCTTGAAGATAGAGTTGTTGAGGAAACTAGCAGGCTTCTCATAGATTGCATATCTGGACTAGAACTGATCATTGAAGCAAGCGACAAAGGCTTTGCATGCCTTACCGGGATTGGTTTTGTTGAGTCCTCCATGCACCTCGTAATCTCAGAAATAGGATTTGAACTTCCCTGAACATAAGATGTTGACACTCCATGCCTTGAAGAAAAAATGTCAAATGACTCCCTCGGGCTTAGCCTACTTTTTACTGTGGAGTTTGGGAGTACTGGCGAAGATGGCAACAATAGAGTTTCATCCCCTCTTGAATACGGTTTCGGTGAAACTGAATTTTCTGCCATTAACTTTGGTTTCCATGACAATGATGCAATAGAATAAACTGCCGAGCTCAATTGCTGAGAAAGAGGTATTGTGCGTTGTCCCGCTGGAGAGCTTTTTATAGAATGCGCTTTATTTACACTCGCTCTGACTTCATGTCTTAACGACGAATTCGATGGCCGAGACGCTGATGCTAACACTTGTTTGCTCGATGAGAAACGCAATAGATTTTCACTGAAGATTGCTACGCTTATCTGAGTGGAGTTAAACCGGGCAGCAACAGGCGATTCGTCTGTTTCCCATGAAGGAGCCATTTTCAAAGACCCAACAATGCTTTTCACGGTGTCTAGTTGTACAGGTGAGCTAGACTGCAGAATATTCGACAACGTAATGTGCTGCATTGACGAAGAATGCAGTTGTCCTCCAATGGACTGTGCGTCCGCTGAGGAGGTAGAATCTGGTGAAAACTTCAAGGAAAGATGTTGCAAAAGGCTTGAAGTGGACTCAACATTTATTTCTGAGGTTGTCTTTGAAGGAGGAAAAGAGGGCATCTCATACATTGTCTTGAAAGAATCGTTACATAGTCTCGTGATTCCCACTTCAGGGTGTAAGCTACTCTGTGGAGATATAATTGATGGCATTGGACGTATGCTGAAGGATATTCTTGGGGGTTCTTTGGCTTCTGTTGCGATTTCTGTTTTGCTCACCAATTTAAACTGTACAGTTGAGAGTAGTATTTCCTGTTCTAGCTCAGAGGTTTTGAGATTTTTGCCAATACTACTTCCTTGTGCTTCTATCAGGAAGCTGTATGGTCTAGGCGTGGGAATTTTTGTTAAGGTATCTCCTGTTCGACATTTTACTGAGCTTTCCACCGCTGTTTTGTCCCGCACCGCGATCACATCTGGAGACGATGAAGATGTTGTGAATTTAGTTGATGACGAGGCGCTGAATGAGTGTACCATGAGGGTTTGTGATTTAGGTGTCTTGGTTCGGCTTAGCTGCGTCGGTGATAATGATGGCGATTTAGACAATAGCAATGGTCTTGATACAGAATCCTGTTCCCAACGTCTTGCCGCGGCATAACTTCTTGCCGCTGAGCCAGATCCCAAGGACACAACCGAAGGAGAGGCTATCGAAAAACTCAATTTGCTTTTTGTTTGAGGAGCTGAGTTATCTTGCTTAGAAAATAGAGTGAGAGACTGCGGCAGACCGCTTCTGTAGGATGATTTCAAAGAGAGAAAGGGCTGCTTCGATGAACTTTCCGAGTAACCTCTTAAGTTTATAGTAGAGTCTGCTTTCTTGGTAGGTAGCCGTTCTAGCGATAATTCCTGATCCTTCAACGACGAGACTATTTCGGCATAGCTGAAGGTTGGAATTACCAATCTCTCATCTTTTGAGATGGAATTATCTCCTATGGACGATAATGACAACGAGAACATTCTCAGGGAATCCTTAAAACCTCTACTAGCTTCTTCCTTTAGTGTTGAGCTAATTGGTAGACCTCGAAGATCTTTACTCATTGATGACGGACTAGCTTGCGGTGAAATCAATGGAAGAGCTTCATTATGAGATGATGAAGTTCTTGAAGAGTATAGAAAAGTTGTAGTAACCCCTACATGTTCTGGGCTATTCAAATGAGGTATTGATGATGGGATATGTTGCGGTGACGGCGAAAATGTGAGAGAACCCGTATTACTTATTCTTCCCTTATCGTATCTTCCTAAGAAAAATTGCTGCGAGGAAGGATATACAGCTGATGTTGCGAAAAACATTTTACTTGCCACATGCTCTTTTCGCAATGAAGAAGAAAGCTGTAAATGCCTGGAAATAAGCACTGATTGCAATAATGGTGTTTTTAAAGAATGCACGAGGACTTCCGTGAGACTTCGTTCTGGCATTGAGGTAAGGGAAACATGCTTTGATGTTAGTGTGTTACGCTTTTGTAGCGGATATTTTAAGTAATTCAAAGTGCCAATTTTTTCTTCCATGTTTTTTGTTGAGGTGAAATCTATAGATGTTGGTGATGGGAATAGCTGTTCTGGGAAATGACTTCCAAGAGATTCTAGGTGAATAAACGTAGCTTTGATGTTAGCTTGTGAGCTGAACTGGGTTGACAACGTGTGGAATTTGTACCCTCTGGCAAGATTTGCAGTTTCTTTCACTTTCTTCTTGGAGCTCGATTTTGGATAGAAAGATGACTGCATATGATCGCCGACTCCTGACATTGCGGAAGTAACGCCTCGGTATTGTGAGGAGAGAGTGCTCGGTGACGACGGAGTAAGTTCTGAAGACATAACTGAGAACAGAATCTGCCTTAAAAGTAATGACGATTTTGAATAACTCATGGCCATGGCCTCTGTTTCTGTTATAGAGGTTAATCCCAGTGAAATTGATGATTTTATTTCTTTACTTGAAAGTGAACCTCCCGAAATATCTGACAATGGTGACGAAATTATCCTAGCAGCCGAAGAAGCTGACGGAAGTATTGATTTGTTGAAAGATGACGCCACTAATGGCATTGTTGCTTGGGTGGACGACTCCGAAAAATGTTGTTTACTAGTAATTGCTGCTTGACTTTTTGTTTCCTGGCCAAATGACAAGAAATCTGTTACTTTGAAAAAAGGGTAGTCTTCCTGAGAGAGTGACAGAGACTTCGATTTTTTCGCTGAAGAAAATAGTCGGCTTGGATTTGTAGGTGACGTCCTTGCTAAGTGCTCTGGAATTACCGCTATTTTTGTTTTTGAAAGAGAACCTTTCTCTGAAGGTGAATCGGTCATTGGATTTCTTTTTAGTGGTTGACTTAACTTCATGTATGACGGTGAGAATAATGATGACGATGTTGATGAGGCAAAATCATTAGAATTCTTTCTAGTGACGATTGGGGATTCATAGATACCAGATATAGAAAACGCTGACTTGTAGCCCATGTTCTTTTCAATTGAAAATGTTGATTGAAATTGTGGCTTTAACAATGCAGTCCTCGCAAACGTTTGAGACGAGGTTGCGATGCTAACGAGGGAGCTTCTAAGAGGGAGAAAATGAAGTTTGGACATGTTGTAAGATGCGTCCATCTTTCTTGAATCAGTTATTTGAGATGACATCAGCATTGACGTCTGAGGTATTGGTTTCGATGATCCATGTAGGAAGAGGTAGTCTGTTAAGGTTTGCCATGGGGGAAGCAACAAATGGAGAGTCGAGGAAACCGATTTAGATTCTGATCTTATTTTTAAAATTTGACTTAAAGTAGTGTTTGCTGATAATTCAAGCTCGCTTGTTTCGTGCATTACTTTAGAGCTTGTTGGCCTAGAAGGTAAAACATTCATGGTTGATGACGAACCAGGTCTAAGTGTTTCTGTTATCTCAAAAGGTAGGGAATCATGGCTAGCACTGAAGTTCTTTGTTAAGAGAATTGTTTTCTTACGACTTTGCAAAGTGATATCACTATAACCTTCTAGGCGCAGTTCAATCCTTCTTATGTCTATCATAGATGAGTTCAATGTCTCCCTGGAACTTGATGGAACTCTCTTTAATGGCGTGGTTAAAAGTATAGATGGCTCAGTTCGGAATTCACTTGCCGATGATAAGGTTACTGAGGGGTGTTTTCTTTCGCGGCTTTTGAGTCCCATTACGTCAACAGGGTATTGGTGTGATGAAGTCCTTTCAGCTCTACTCAATTTTGAGCTGGGTACCAATTCCTGCCTACTATATATCGATACTGGTTGCTCAATAGTCTCTTTACTGAATGAAGCCAAAACAGACTTCCTGTCAACTTGACTTGATATCGTTTCATATCCAAAGGAAATAGTGGGATTATTGACTTCCCTCGGACGAGGTGTAACACCAGTGTGTAATGAGACTTTCAACCTTATGGAAGTTGTTCGCAAATTAGACGCCTTGGAAGTGGTCATAAAACCCACAGACGGCCTAACAATTTCATAACTTGCTGGAACTGAGGTGCCTGTAGAAAATACACTTAAGCCTCCCCCAACATCAAGTAATGGCGTTGAGGAACTGCGTGAAAAGATTTTGGTATGCGTACCTTTCCTTATAGGCGAAGTAAGCAACTCTGGTTTCTCTTTCGCTAGAGACACGGACGATGTATGTTTGTGATAAAATGATGTAACTTGCAGACGCACGAATTTACTAGATAAGCTAGAAGTCTCCTTCAGACTTCTTGTGGGAAATCCAATAATGTAACCAGTCGAGGTCTGGTTTTCTGATGAAAAAAGAAGTCTTGACCTTGAAGTTGGTAATGTAATCATAGTATAAGAAATAGAGTGCCCCTGCTTCCCTCTTGAAAATACAGTCTGCACTATATCCTGTGATAATTTCTCTGTGTAAGTTTTATGACGTTCATGATATTGAGAAGCCGAGCTTAATCTAGAGGCGTGTGGCCTTCTTAACGACTGTGTTAGTTTCTTCCTTCCTTCTGAAGACTCCCTTGAGTGCAGATTCGAGGATGTGGTCACCATCGACGATGAACTGTGTTTTAGCACTTTTGACAAACCTGGCCTTGTTTCTGTTCAGGAAAGAAGAAAGGCATAAAAATAAAAGCATCTCAATTCTGAAACACTGGAAACAAATATTGATTTATTCGTTGCCGTTTATGTACTGCAGTTGACTGTGATTGTTTTCACTGTTTGTTTATAATCGGGAAAATCAGCGTTGTTGTTGCTTAAACAAAACGCCACGCTGAAGCTACAAATTTGTCCACATACTATTCCCAGTAAGACTTTGATGAGGTAGAGAGCTTCTGCTTTATTTTTTTTGATACTGCCGAAATGAAAAGGAAAATACTTAGAGCAAAACCACAACGGAGAGGCCACTATTCCTCTTTTGAACTAGAAAATGTATCCTCGTATTTAAGTTAAATGGAATCCAAAACCCACCCTTTTTAGGACACTCTTCTGCGTTGCACTGTTCCACAGCATATGGTTTTCCAGGGCATCCAGATCTGGAAGAGGCGCTGGGCTTCTTGCAGTTTCGAAACCTGATCCTGGCTCCTCCTCCACAAGTTGCACTGCAGTCATCCCAAGCACCCCACTCTGACCAGGCGGCTTTCATCATATGACACGGTTCAGTGTTGCATCTCTGGACATCAGTCTCCTTGTCACGGAATGATGCAACTGCCTCTATAGCGCGGTATCGTGAACGTACTTTGATTCCTCCTCCGCAGGAAGCGGAACAGGTAGTCCAGCTTCCCCAGCCCATTTGTAAGGTTACGTGGTTTTCCTTCTCAACTTGCGGTGTTTCTGAAAGGAGCACGATTAACGGGTGTATCAGCCTAGGAAACATTGAGGATTAAACCCTGTAGCTGACAACAAAACGACGCTGATAACATTGTTATGAGCGCAAGGAGCCATGTGAACATACAGCAACTGTCACGTAAAAGCAATTAAGCTAGAGGTCAAGGGAAAGGTCAATTAGTCGTAGAATGAAGGTAAAAAATGTCAAATAGTGGTCATATCCTTATTTATGAGCTACTAATGGCTAATAACACATACCTCCAAAGGCGTAAACTCCACCTGCTCTCCAATACTCAAAGCTCATATTAACCTTACCCGCCATTAATAGAGACTGTGGATTTGTAATGATATGTTAGCCACTACAATTTTTATAAAGTCCAGCTAATGCAAAAATACCGAAAACCTATGCTAAGCATTCTATTGAAATGATAAGTTGTAACAAGTTCAATGAAGGAAATACAAATAATTAAAAATATAATTTAAAATTTGTAATAAAAAATGAAGCATTTTTAAATAGTTTTAATGTTTTACCAAATAGGCATGTGACTTTGCCAAAGTATCACCTTTGTAAGTGCCTAACGTTTTATTATTATTATTATTATTATTATTATTATTATTATTATTTATACAATCTTAAGCAATCTCTGAGCAGATCTCCTTAGATCTTCTAAACAGTATGTTTAAAGGATCTTAAACATCAGGGTAAATACCTAAGAGACAGCTTGAGTAAATAACAAAAAAGGATACTTTGCAAGGCTTCAATCGTATAATATGCTTACTCAGGGAAAACAAAAATTTATTCATGCTCACCATTACAGTAATGTCTTCTTTTGTGGGCCCAGTTATCTCAATCGTCTCTTTAATGTTGTTTGAGATTCTATCGTACTGCACTTCGACATCACCAACTTTGAATATGCCAGACCAATTGACGATGCGATTACCATTGATAACATAGTTACCATTTTGTTTTTTGAGAGCTGAGGTTGTCCAAAACGATAACCACAAAGTGGTTGACAGCATAAACAACGATACAGAAAAAAGAGAAAAAAAAAAGAGAGAGAGAGAGAGAATGTCAAATTTTTCCAGCTAACTCTATCGAAGTACAAGTTTTCCAACCTATAAGTCAGTTGATAAATCAGTCGGTCAGTTATGAGGTCGATGACCTGGCAATGACTCAGCAGGACAGTAAGTGAGTGAGTAAGACAGAGAGGGGCCGCGTGTGTTGGTAGGGGAGTATAACGAGACAGTTTTGGTTTTATTTACTGAATTAATAATGTAAATTGGCCACCGTATAGAGTTTCAAAGCTGACGTTTGGAGCGTTAGCTCCTCGTCAGATCAAAGACATTAATCAGAGAGTCAGTCAGTCTTTGGGAGTCAAACTCATTGAGTTAGTGAGAATCAGTCAGTCGCAGTTATTCAGTCAATGATTCCGGCAGATTATGAAATCATTATTGAGTGTAATCGATTTACCTAGGTAGTTCCACGTATTATCTGTGATCAGAACACTCGTTGCCCCCTTAGGTATCACCATCAAATCTGCGTAGCCTGTTGGATTTCAATCATAGATCATATTGAAAACTTCATTTGAGGAAAAAAAGCAATACAATTTTACAATATTCATTTCATCTTCTGTGTTTACAAAAAAATTTGCCTTACATTTTGTATCTATGAGGGTCCTAGGGCTGATGTGATTTCAATTCTCTCAGTATGAAAAAGTTACTCCCCTGGATTCTATTTTATGAGCAGGTTTAAACCCTTCCACCCACACCCCAACCTCTCCTAAAATAAATCGATAAGAAATAATCTAGCCTTGCTGAAGAGCTGCCATTGCGTGTGAACCAGAATGATAAACTGAAGTTGATAAGTGAAGAATTCATCAAGTAATTATGATTTCAGAACATTGCAATTAACTCTCACAAGTTACCTGAGATTCGTTCAAAAAGTGTTGGAGACCTTTGAATTCTTCCTCTCATTGGCTGACACGTCGTAGAATTTCCACCACAAACTCGACATCTGTCCATATACACTCCCGAGTCGAGTTTGTAGTCACATCCAACGGACTGAAATGAATTAAAGGTAAATAAACGGCAATAAAATATATTCATAAAAATGGGATGAAAACAGCAGCAACAACAACAGCAACAAAAACGACGGATTGACTGACAACTATACCGTCATCACTTTTCGTCATTCTTGTTTTATATTTATCTTAGCAGCCCAACCATAAAGTAAGTCTTAACTAAAAAAGAATGCCCGAGTTCTTACTCTGCATTAGATGTGAGTATAATAGTTTCATTCTTACTTTGCACCGTCCACGTACACAGACACCGTAGGGTTCTTTGGAACACTGTGTCCCATCTCGGGCTTTTCCAAAGTAATAAAATAATTCTTCTCCATCAGGATAGCAGAATAATAAACATTGGTTGCCACCTAGAAGTATGCGAAGAAATAATTTTCAAAAAGGCAAGTTATGATATTTCATACTTTTGAGACATCCTCGATATGCCAAACAACATAGTATCATAATGTTTAATTATTCGCCATACTTTAGGGAGTTTACAAAAAAAAAAAAAACTACCTTTAAAAGGTTGATCGATTATTCCATTTATGAAAATTACCTCGACTATATGACTTCCATTTTGCTCTTTCGCCATTGATAAATATATCTCTTCCGTTGTACGATGCACACTGTACATCACGGAAATTCTCGCTTTCTTTGGGGCAAGGCTGTGGGATGAATAATGTGGCGTTGTGTATTTTCTTCAGCACATTAAGCAGCAATCTAAATTTTATTCCATGTATTTTTCTTTCTTTGCTTGTTGTATATCAGTCACTTAAACTTTGTCTGCAAGTATCTGCCGGTCCGTCGATTAATCAGGCTGTTTGCCTGAACAGTTTGTTTTGACGATTTAACGGTATAGCATAGCAGCTGTATTCATGCATAGAGGATTTTGGGACGTACCTGGGTGTTACACGTTTGATAAATCCTGGATTTCTTTTGACACAAAGCCTTGTTCTTCCTGTTTATTGTAAAATGTAGTGAGAAAAATTTCAGACTATTGAGCAAAAACATTAAGTCACCTCTAAGCTAGCGCTTTCATGTGAAATAAGACCGTCTAATCGAGAATGGAATGAGATATTTGGATTAATTTAGGAAAAGAGAACGTGTTGCGAAATCAAAGCGGCGAATCACTGCAGTCGCACAGCAATACACAATGGCAAGAGAAAATCGAACTATTTTTTTTACCTGAGGCATAGCTGTCCTCGAAACTTTACGCCAACCCCACAGGTGCGAGAGCAGGGACTCCACACAGACCATTCGTAAAATGGTTCATAAAACTCCTCGCCGTCTGCCGTGTTTTGAAATTCCCGGCTGTCAGAGTTACGCAGACGGTTCTCCGTATCAGCCCGCTGAACAGTTTAAGCGAGATAAATGTTTTTGAAAACAGCATGACATACTTAATTTTGTTTAAATGTGATCTACCTCTAGGTATTCCGGAAAGAGATCAAAGCCACCTCAATCCCAACCCAGTCTGGTAATTCTTAACTGGGTTACTTATGTACGAGAACACTGGCCGTAAGCACAGTCTACGCTCTTCCGAGCAGCTTGGAGTTAGCTTGATGCTTAGACCCCCATAGTAACCTTCTTGTCCCCTAAAATCTAAAATTTGTCACACACGTAAACAAATATAGCTTAAATCTGGTTTGCAATGTCTTTAAAACGTAAGCCTTCTTTCTTTTTGTGTGATTTCTGCCTAGGATGATGACAGTTAAATCGGATTAAGTCAGTGGCGTTATCGCATGCTTCAAATTATTTGTATGGCTGCTAATTGAAAGTCTTCCCCTTGTCTTTTTATACATAGATGAAAGAGAACACTGGGCTAAATGGTCAAGACATCCGTAAGGAATGTGGGCGGGACACATTTTCCTCATATCTGTTTACTCTACAAATGACATCGATGCTGTCATCATGACTGTAAATGAGGGAATTCCCCAACGTGAATCAGGTAGCCAAGTGTTTTGTTAGAATTAAATCAGTAAGAGTTAGATATCAGATTTTGAGAGGTACTCGAGGCCTATTTTGAAAGGGCAAGGACAAACGCACATTTCTCTGCTTGCGGTCACATCACAGTGAAAGAGACTCTTCTTTTCATAACTTTTACTAATCCTATGACAGGATTTTTAGGAATGTCTCGAGAGCTTTTCCTTTATGGTAAGTCTTTTTGTCACTAAGATAGAGACGATGCAATTCCTGTGATGGTGGTTAGGCTCGATATATGACTCAGCCTTCTGCAAAGACCGTGCACACCGTACACGAAAATCTGCAGTTCGGGAGTTGCAATCTAATCACATCATCTGCCCCAATAGATTTCCGGATCATTTACAGCAGGTGATTTTAAAAACATTTGCGGTTTTAATCAACTGATCATGAGAGCCAGTGTCGCGCACTTGCGTAAATTAGAGTTGTGTGTTCATCAACTTACAAGAAGATGTCCTGAGATCAAGATCGAATAATACTCAAGAGCAAGCTCAGTAGTGCTAGAGTTACGCTATGATGTTGCTTAGCTTCCTAATATAGAAACAAGACGAAAGTGGAATGCTTGATTGGTGATAGAGTGGTGAAGCTGCGGGGCACTCGCCGGCAGACAATCCAAGGTCACGCAAATATGACCAAATATCCAACCCTTAGGGTGAACCAAGCTGGGTGGGTGTGGGGAATATGAGAACATCAGGAAAGCAATGTTAAAAACTGTCCTCAAAAATTGAAAGAAAAAAATATGTGCATTTTAAAGTGAGCACCCAGGCTTGTTGGAAAGAAATCATATGTAGCGAAATTCTCAGAGCTTTATGGGGAGATTTGAAAGTAGACTTTTTCGATTTGGACACCTCTATCTATTTACATAGCATTGTAAGGCATCCCTCGCTGCATCCCCTCCCCTCCCAACTCACGTCTCTTTCTGTGTTCCTTCACCCATTATCATATACAGATTTTAACAATAATATTATGTTAACAATGCGTGACTGTGTACTTAACTAATACAGCTCGACAAATTATTATTAGCTTCTATGAATTACTTGTCTTAATTCTGATTTGAGCAAAAGATGATACAAACCACTTGTTTGGGTAAATAATCTTTGATTACATTTCATCTCATCGTATGGTATCCTGTCTACCGGAATCACAGGCATTTAAAGTATTTTGAAATTAGTCCCACAGTTACCTATTAATCCGGGCAAGCTTATTTTTCTTTTATGAAAGCTCGCTTTGTAAACATGAGTTTAATCTGGTCTTTTTAAATATTTGCTGAAAATTAATGCAAACGAATTTTTACAAAGACTTTCTCCTCAGGTTCCTCAAAAATCAAAATTTTGCCGTAGTATTCTGCAGGTACAATAAATCAAAAGTGTCAAAAGAAGGCTACTCACCGTGAACACGAGTATTCCATTTGAAAAAAGTAACAGCACAATGATTACAGAGGAATGCCTGTAGAAAAGGTTTATAAAATGTTGATAGCCAACGTAAGGTACGAAAACTTTGTATACTTTCATTAAAGCGAAGTATTGTGCACGGTGAAAACATCCCACCTTTCTGGCGAAAAGCTTAGCGCTATTGCACCTGGTGCATATGCATCTTTCATGGTTCTTACGGGACCTATTGGGCAGGAAATACTTCTACGTATGGTGATAATGACAACGTTGGAAGTATGGAGACATCAGAGGAGCGCGAGAGGTATAAGTTGTTATGTACTGCTCAATGGCAATAAAATATTGCCAATGACTGTCATGTGATGATAGATGTGGCGGAAGAGAGTGATTAATACCGTCTTAATCACTTAAGGTCCGAGTGAAACAATGTCGTCCTAATCATATCCATATGGTACAAATTCATCTTCGAATTACGTGCTACTGCCCGTTCCGTTTCAAGACCTCAGAAGAAACAAGCATTTCCTCGATGCTTCAAAAATAGTAATTGACGCTTGATGATATCCTGTTAGAGTTATTGTTCCAGTTTGCATGTGTTTAGATTCCTCGTCTATTTATCTATTCGTCTATTTGTTTACTTAAATATTTTCACTTCATTCCAATCTTTTCCCTAATTCTACCAGGTTGGATTAAACGTATATCGAAAAAGGAAAAAGTGTACGCATGTTTATTAACGATAATATCTTGCAAAAGCTGTGATTTTCCTCTTATTTACAATGGAAGCGTCCGCAGTGACATGTTGTGGTGAGGCAAGAACCCAAGATTATAGATGACGAGGGTTTTAAGGCTTGTTTTCGGCTGTTCCTCTTAACTGAGAAGAGATTAACCTTAAATCCGATGTTTGGTGCATATCTGAGAAACTAGTGGTCAATCCTCACGATGTGCGAGAAAGCCAACTATCATTTTCACCCCAGCGAACAACGTGGCTAAAAACAGGGTTACAATAGAAAGAGTATTGGACAAGCGTAATTAATACTAGTTTGAACGAGCAACTGAAAAAGAAAGCCTACAAGGAAGCTATCGTGTTCTTCATTCCAACCGATGACCCGTCAAATGCTTGGTCGTCTACAAATAGTGAAAGAGTTGAATTAATTATCAGCTCCGACGAGATAAAGAGCAATAGTTCGAAATATATCGCTAAGATTCTCATAGGAAGTTAACGTTGGAAAAAAAAAAAAAAAAAAAAAAAAAAAAAAAAAAAAAAAGGACTTGCACGTTCGCTAACTCCTTTGAATTTCTTGCTTTGCATTTTTTCGAGAGATTATAAACCTTTGGTTTATGGCAATCTTGAAAGAATTGTGTCTTGTTTTCGGAGAGAGTTGACAAAAAAGCTAGGTTCTAACATGACAACTCGTTAGAAATAAGCCAAATTTCTGCTCAAAAATGCGCACGTATTGCAGGTTATAAGGATTTCACCACCCAAGGAGGTCAACGGTCGGGATCAGCCTCGCAATCATGTCAGCAAAAACCATTAGGAAGCACTCCTCTGTCATTAGAACCTCCCAGAGGAAAATAATGAATACGGACGTTATTTATCGCCGATGCGTTTTATTTCATCTTTGTTTTATTAATTGTAGATTTAATTGCATTTACAGTGAGAAGCCGGGCAGTATCCAGCCGCACAATTTGCTACGCACCATGCGACCATACCTGGTGCTGTGTCATAAGGTGGGACTGCCACGCAACCACTAGGAGAAGCAGTGGGCTTTTCAGTAGTAGGAACCGGTCGGTCGGTGATTGTAGGTGGCTGTGGTCCGTCGGTTGGTGGCTCCGGTCCTTCGGTTGGTGGCATTGGCTTTTTTGTAGTAGGTGCCGGTATTACATCAGTGGGACGAGGAGGAGGCATGTAGCCACCTAGATACTTCTTCACAGCGTTAATCAAGGGATATGGGCCCTCCCCACATTGGGATCCTCTAAAATCGTCCAAGTCGAGAGCCCAAAACATCGCTCCTTTCAGACCCTTTTTCATTATCAGCTTGTTCACCTTGAGGTGCAGGCTGTCCTTGTTGTCGAAACCCACCCAGATTGTATGTTTGTAGCCGTAAGGTGCCTTAACTTTATTATCGTTGACAATGTTCAAACCAAGTTTACAGATTTCGTAGTAAGCCAGAAAGCCAGATTCGCGGGTATATGGTCCTTCGTGGGGTTTCTGCCAATCATGCTTAGGAGCGCCAAGGCCATTATTGCTTGGGTCTTTCAGTGCAAATGCTCTACCATACGGAGCAAGTCCGAGAGCAATCTTGTTTGCTGGAAATCCTCTGTCAATCCAGTACTGGACCGCAAACGGAACAGTCATTTTGTCATCCCCTGCCATGGCAGTGTGATGTCCCGTTACTGAGTCCCAGTTCCCGTGTAGGTCGTAAGTCATGAGATTGAGGACATCCAGGAGTGGGCCAAGTTTGGCCACTTCATACGCTTTGTCGATGGTCTTATAGCCAGCTGCAACGGCGGCAGTTAGCAGCAGGCGAGGTTTTCCCGTTTTGGCTGCTTCAGCTTTAAAAGCTTCTAATAGCTCCCGACACAGTAAGGTAAATCTCCTTTTATCTTCAGGCGGTGAACCTCCCCGAGAGGCAGGATATTCCCAATCCAGGTCAAGACCGTCAAAACCCCACGCTCGAAGTGTCGTAATGGCGGAGTCGATAAATACCTGAAGTACCACGATAAAGTTAAAAATTTTGTCAGTAAGCTGTTTTGAATTTTCGTTTCCTTATGACAGGAAACATATCTGACAAGAAGAATTGGAAATACTTGAACTGAGCCTAGCTTGATCGAAACATATTGTTATCGGTTGTTGTCAATATGAAAAAAAATTCTCAAAAAAAAAAAAACAACAACAACAATTGGTTGGAGGCTGGAAAGGGTTTTTAGATGCACGCGCGCGCGCAATCTACACACGCCACAACTAAGATGCACGCATCAGCTGAATGAATCAAAATCAGCACACCGGAATTTAAATGTTGCTTGAAATTGCACGAACCGGAAACAAAATCTACGAAATACATTTGTTTCTAGCTCGAAATTTTGTTCGGTGACCTATCTTGATTTTTTGCATGCACGCACCATTCATGATGGCACTTCAAATATAAAAGTTTCGGGGAAAAATTATCTAGTAGAATTTTCTGTAAGCCATATTTCGCATTTTCTTTAAACATATTTAATTCTACTGGATAAATTTCTCCTGGATAAACGAATTCCCACAATATTCATGTCCAGCGAACAACGTCAGCAATTTTAATAAGAAAAGTTTTGTATTTATTTTTAAATTGATCTTTTTTTTTTGATAATTTGCATTATTATCACGGATGCTTTCTTTTAAAGCAGTGGAAAAGCTTTTTATACATTCTCGATCATGTGCATTGTCTTAACGGCGTTAATAACTTTGAATGCGTTTTCTCCTAAAGAGGATCATTTAATCGTTCCTTAATCCATAGCAGATTTTAATCATTTAAGTTTGTGAAAACAGTTTAAATTGGATGAAATACAAGGGAACCATTAACATAAAATAATTGTATTCATTTTCGATACCTTTCTAGTAGCCTGAGTTTTAACCATTTTTGAAAATGGACTGTCAAAGTTCTCGTGGTTCCATCCTCCTACTGCTAGCAACGTTCGCAGCTCAGGGTTTTTATTCTTTAAGGCGTTGAACCTGGGGTATAACTGGTCATCATTCCACTCGAACATGGCCAGTTTGTTGGTGTTTCGATCGATCTTTGCAAACGCGTACATTAGATGGGTACACAGAAAAGGATCAATGTTTTCAGGAAAGAACTTTCCAATACCTATACGGTATTGAGACCAGTTTGTGTGATAGCACACTCGTACATAGTTATTAGCGCTAGTGTATGAGGCAATCGCCACAAACAGAAAAGGAACGAAAGATCGCATGACTCAGAGAGCAAATACCGTAGAACAGAAACCGTTGTAATGTAAGGGAAATGGTCCGGTCCCGTACTTTATAGGTATCTGGCTTTTAAGTTTCTAAGCAGCTGAGTAAGCCTTTCATGCTTGTAGCTCAAACTTACTTTACTTTCTTAAGCCAATCAGAGATAAACTGACGGCTACGTGTTTGGTCAGCATGAATCAAAGGTGTTGATGGCAGTTCAAGCCTTAAATCATGGTTAAACTGGATGATTACTTAGCGAGTGATACAAGCCGTAACCTGAAAGGCAAATTGCACCATGGTACAGTTCTTTGTGTGGGGTGTTAAAGCTGTTTAAATACGCGGCCCGTGGGTCGATCGTATCACACTACCTATTGTTGACAAAGTGTTATTGCAGGCTCTTGTTGGCAAAGCTGTATTTTTTAATACTACTGAATTTAACTTAACTCAATGTTAATTTCTTTATATTACTCTTTTCATGAGTTTTTAGTTTGAAATTGCAGCCATTTTTTTTACTTTATTTTAAGTCACAGTAATACGGACTCCAACTTAGTCATACAAAGTCTTCTTATCAACGGGTTGTCCATATCATTTGGCGTATACGCTCATCCAAAACACTAAACACGAGTTAGTTGATTGGCCAAAACATTGTGGGTTAAGATTAAATGACCATTTTGCGGCTATATGCAGTCGAGGTGGACTTCCAGTCACGTAACAATTCCCAATTTTTAAAACAGCGTAAATATGAATACCACAGGTTTTAAAATTTTTGGGCTGTTCAACTTTTCTTTGCACTCTCGCAATGCGGCGAAACGCCTCAAAAAAGTTGAAATTGTTAATAAAATAACGTTTAGTCAACGGATGCATCTACACACATATCAACGTGCGTAATTTTTCGACGCACGCTCACGTGCCTGGAAAAAATGTATCGAGAGAAATCCAGCTTTTACAGTTGTGCTCTTTCTCCTCGGGGATCAAAGAGTAAATCAATTTTTAATTTCTTGTGTTTGCAACTTCTTGGGGATAAATTGACTTTTTTTTCAGGCTTGTGCGTTCTTGAATGACAACAAATAGCTTCTTGCACCTTTTAATGTGCGTTTGAACGGTATGTGCTGTAAGCTCATTGAGTCAAAACAATATAAAGACAAGTGAACTTATAATAGTAATCGTGGCAAGTTCTCTGGTAGGGCAACACATTAATTCGTAAAAATCAGAGAGATTCAGCGGTATGCAAATGAATAAACCAAGACAAAACAGAATGACATAAAAGATCTC